TTGCTTCAAGCAGAGGTGGCTTTCGAGAGGTATGCGGCAAGCACACTCCATCCACCAGACGGGGCTGCGCCTGCCCTCAAGGGCATCGGCAATGCACTGCAGTCCTAGAGGCCTCCGAGATGAGGTCCGAGTAGAGGGGGTCGCAGGATCGCGACGCATCGCCACTGCATCAGATGTGCATCGGCGATACATCGTCGACGTCGGCGATGCATTGGCGTCATCGGCGTGAAGAAGTCCTGGCTTCACACCGAGCCGTATCGTCGATGTGTCGGCGATGCGGAGCGGTCTTTCGACCCCACCTGCTCGGACCCCATGTGGGATGCCTAGACCTGGCTCGGTGATGATGATGATATTGATGATGATGATGGTGATGATGATGCTGATGCTCATGATGGTCATGATGATGAAGAGGATGATGCTGATGCTGATGCTGATGCTGATGATGCTGATGATAGTTATGGTGATGATGTTGATGCTGCTGATAATGCTGCTGATGTTGATGAGGTTGATAATGCTGCTGATGATTTTGCTGCTGAACATGATGCTCAGGATTATGATTCTGATGCTGATGCTGATGATGATGCTGATGCTGATGATGATGATGATGATGATGGTGGTGGTGGTGATGCTAAATATTGATGATGGCTGATGGCTGATGGCTGTTGGCTGATGGTGGTGATGATGCTGATGATTATGATGACAATGATGATGATCATGCCACTTACCATCATTGATGATAGTTGGTGATTGATGATCTGTGGTTGATGGTTGATGATGGTGATGCTGCTGATGATGATGACGATGATGACGAAGATGAGTTGATGATGGTGATGGTGATGGTTGTGGTGGTGATGGTGATGCTGTCTATGCTGCTGATGATGATGCTGATGGTGGTGATGGTGGTGGTGGTTGATGATGATGCTGATGCTGATGCCGATGCTGATGCTGATGCTGCTGATGAGGATGCGGATGAGGATGATGATGATGATGAAGCTGATGCTGATCATGCTGATGATGCTGATGATGAGGGTGATGTTGATGTTGATGATGATGCTGATGATGATGCTGATGCTGATGATGAGTATGATGATGCTGTTGATGATGATGCTGATGCTGGTGCTGATGCTGATGATGCTGATGGTGATGATGGTGATGATGCTGATGATGCTGCTGATAATGATGATGCTAATGATGCTGATGATGCTGATGATGCTGATGATGATGATACTGATGATGATGCTGATGATGATGATGATGATGACGATGATGGTGATGATGATGATGATGCTGATGATGATGATGATGCTGATGATAATGCTGCTGCTGATGATGATGACGATGATGATGCTGATGATGGTGATGATGATGATGATACTGACGATTATAATGCTGCTGATGATGATGGTGCTGATTGATGATGATGGTGCTGATGCTGCTGATGGTGATGCTGATGCTGGTGATGACGATGCTGATGAATGATGATGATGATGATGCGATGATGATGATGATGCTGATGCTGCTGATGATGATGATGATGATGATGATGATGATGGTGGTGGTGGTGATGATGATGATGATGATGATGATGATGATGATGATGCTGATGCTGATGATGATGATGATGATGATGATGATGATGATGATGGTGGATGATGATGATGATGATGATGATGATGATGATGATGATGATGATGATGATGATGATGATGATGATGATGATGATGATGATGATGATGATGATGATGATGATGATGATGATGATGATGATGATGATGATGATGATGATGATGATGATGATGATGATGATGATGATGATGATGATGATGATGATGCTGATGATGATGATGATGATGATGATGATGATGATGATGATCATCATCATCATCATCATCATCATCATCATCATGGTGATGTCTGCGTCTCTCGGCTCCTCTGGCCAGGCGGTGGCGGCGGATGTGTTCTGCCATCCACCGAACGGGGTTCTGCTAGGGGCAACAGCAGGGGGTAGGGGGATTCATCGGCCTCCAGATGCCCATTGGTCGCCGATAAGGGGCCCTGTGCCAGTCCCCCACCCACTGGGAATGGAGGGCAAAGAGGGACCTCCGGGTGGGGTGGGCGCGGTGTGGTGGGCAGTGAGCCGTCGTGCTGCCATCAACCAGCGCTGTGTATAGAAGGAACGAACGGGGCCTTCTGGCCACAGCGAGCCTCGGCCACACACAGGGCCAACCTTTTGTCCACATCCACCTCGTCTCGGGTCTCCGGGGAGGGGAGCCCGAAACTCAGAGACGCACTGGATATAGAAACTGATCTTGCCCTGGCCGCGGCGGCGGGCGGGCCCGTCTCCGCCGAGGTCGGCGGGCGGCTCCGCCGTGAGTCGGCGTCGCCGAGGCCCCCGAGGCGGCCCGGCGACGGGCGCCGCGGCATCCGCCCCAGCCGCCTCGCCGACCTCATCCGTCCTCCCTCTGCCCCCCTGGCCAGGCGGCGGCGGAGGTCTACGAGCTGGCCCGGCAGGCGCAACGGGTCGCCTGACGTCTGCGGGCGGCCGCGCCCCTGGGCCGTCGTGGCCCCGCGACGCCGCGCGGGAGCCGCGGGCGCGTGGAAGGGCGAGGAGGAGGAGGAGGAGGCGGAGGAGGAGGAGGAGGAGGAGGCGGAGGAGGAGGAGGAGGAGGGGGAGGAGGAGGAGGAGGAGGAGAGGGGGAGGAGGAGGAGGAGGAGGAGGAGGAGGAGGAGGATGAGGATGAGGAGGAGGAGGTGGGACGAGGGGGAGACTCCAGCATTGTGTATGATGGGCTCCACCGTCGAGGCAAGTATCTGCGTGCTGCTCAGCTCGGTCTGCCTGGGCTGAGCTGTGGATCCAGGTTTGGGGTAGCATTGGAGATTGTGTGTGTGTGTGCGGGGTGTTGAGCAGGTTGACTTTCGCAAAGTGAAAGGTCATCGGACTGAGGCTCGCATCCAGCTCGGTATCTCTACCCGTCTCGAGAAAAAGAAGGGAATGCTCACGCCGGCGACTGGGCCCAGTGGATGGCACCGCGGGCCAGGAGTCCGGAACCCATGCAAGATGCTCTGAAGGTCACGGCGGAGGTTCTCAGATCCTGGGCGTTGTGGGCTGCCCGCATGGGCCCTTGTACTGCCAGCGCGCTTCCTCTCAGCAGCGCAGCAAGGCCAAGTGCAGCGGCAGCACGGGACCTCGTGTGCCACCGCTGCGCCTTGTGCCGCCGCCGCCGCCTCTGTTCCCCAGGGTCTTCCTTCGAGCTGATCAGGCGTGCAATCGTGTTGAAGTGCCATCCACTCCTTGGCGCAGTTGGCAGTCCGCTCCCCCAAGCGGCACGGAAGCGCCGCCCGCCCAACCCTGTCGGCGGTGGCGTGCGTGGCATGTGGCGCGCAGCTGGACTGCTCGTCCTGGACTGGCCGAGGAGGGACGAGGGGGAGGGACGAGGGGGAGGGGGAGGATAAGGGGACGATCCGGGATCATCCAGTGACGGGCCAGCAAGAATCCACGAATGCAGTGCTGCCTCAAACCCGCGGCAACCTTCACAGCAAACCAACACGGCAGACCAGCACGGCACGCCACCGCGGCAGACCAACAAGGCAGACCAGGTCCGCGGAGACCAGTTCGGCAGAGAACCATTCGGCAGACCAGCGCGGCAGACCATCAATGCAGACCAGCGTGGTTCAGAGCAGCACTGCAGACTAGCGTGGTAGACCAGCATGGCAGACCAGCACTGTAGCCCAGTACTGGGAGACCAGCACGGCAAATCATCACGGCGGACCAGCATGGCAGACCAGCGCGGCACACCAGTTGTGCAGACCAGCGCGGCATACCAGCGCTGCGCACCAACACGGCACACCTGCACGGCACACCATCACGGCACACCAGAAAGGTTAACCAGCACGGCTTGCAGTTCGGCAGACCAGCATGGCAGACCAGCACATCCGACCAGCACGGCGGACCAGCATGGCACACCCGCACGGCAGACCAGCTGAGCCGATCGGCGCGGCAGACCAGCGCGGCAGACCAACACGGCGGACCAGCATGGCAGACCAGCGCGGCACACCAGCACGGCGCGCAGTTCAGCAAACCAGCACAGCAGACCAGCACGTCAGACCATCTGTTCTTTTCAGAGTTTTCCACGAGACGTTCCATCAGGCTTCGTAGATACATCGGCGCCTCCCGCTCTTGTCCGGTCAGGTTCTGGGAAAATGGCCGTCTCGCTCGAGACATCCTCGACTCGAACAGTTCGCTCTGGAGAGGAGTCCGAACAAGTTACGTATCGTTTTTTTATTCGTTGTTTGGCCGATCGGCGCCGGCCCCCTCTCCCTCCCTCCCCCCCATGGAGTAGATCTTGGCTGTCTTTGGCGCCTGTTTCGGGCGGGTGGAGTCTCCCCCAGAGGCAGCACTCTTGCAAACAGTCGCACCCATTTCCGCACAATGTCGACACGCCGAACAAGAAAACGCTCACATGGAGAGGAGTCCGAACAAGCATAATCTTGAAATCGCTCCCCGAGGGCTTCACAACGACCTCAGAGAGCTGCCGGAGGCCCCCCAGGGGGCACCAAAAGCGTCCCGAGGGGGCCCCCATGGTCAGAGTGGTCCCATGGGCCCAGGGCGGAATCGTCTACCCCCTGATTTCAAAAAAACACAATTCTAGAAGGTATCACTTCAAGTGTCTCCAAATGGAAACAAACATGTTGTTCAGTAATACGTAAACAACAAGACAATGATTCTGACAAATACCATTTTCAGAGCGCACGTCGCGGCAAACCTTGGACCAATCCGTGGGCGCCCCGCTCATGTTTGCATTGCGCCATTGACAGGGATGACGCACGGGGGTGCACGCCTAATTGAGTCGCGTGACGGCCCACCATCCGTGTCATAAACCAGTGTATGAAACTAGAGGTAAGAGAGTCGCGCTCCATCTGTGAGTTCTGACAGTGAACGCTTAGCTGAGCAATGTCCTTGTCCATCATCGCGCTTCGCTCGTCCTCACCTTGGGTTTGTTTTTTTTGGGGGGGGGGACCGTCATCGGGGCTTCGATCATCTGGCTTCCCAGTGTCCCGCCGCCCGTTTGTGACTGGCGGGGTTATCATAATTCTGACCCCCGTCCTTCAGAGCTTCTTTATTTTCATCGGCCTCCTCCCCGATTCCTCCTCCTCCGCCTCCGAGTGTCACCCCATTCTCTGTTCCTCCTGATCTCCACGTGTGCGGGGAGCATGAGGGAGTAGAGTGACTGGATCTGCCAGTGGCGTCGGTGCCCGAAAGCGCGCATGAAAGGTGGTGCGTTGACAAGGTGATGAGGGGGCCCCCTGGTTTTGAGATGGGCTCCAAACAGTTTCCTCTTTTGAACGTCGGACCCTCCTCTGTTCCAGACGGGCTTGAGGATCACACGCGAAGGTCCGCACTTCTGCTAGACCTGTTTGGGCGCGCGAGGGGGTAGCGACATTTGCGAATCATTTTGCGAATTGCTTGTCCTCCTCTTACGTTCGGTTCAGCTTCTGTGCCATATGAGATCAAGCATTCTAGAATGGGCCTCTTACATCTTCGTGCACGTGTGATCTTTCTATTATGCATGTTCGGGTCCGATTCTGACTCTGTCGTCGGTGGCGTTGCGGACAGGGCTCCAGCGCCCATCGTTGCTGGAGGCGGCGTTTCAGACGATGATTTCGTCGGTTCTGGACCCGCGCCTGTTAGGCGAGACGGCGGCAGGCCCGCGCGTAGACCAGGCAGAGCCCGGGCTGCGAACGAGGGGGCGGAGTCGATAGTGGTGGTGGTGTCTGCCTCCGTGGGGCGCTGGTCTGAAGCTGTTGCAGGTGTTCCATTTCAGCATTGCCAAGATGGTTCTGTTGTGGGGCTGGTTCGTGCCAAATGGCTTCTTTGCACGCCTGAGGAGATCGAGGAGTGTGACGATGACACGTTTAGGATGATGGTGAAATCCGCTGTCCGAAATTGTGATTCGGTAATGGGTTTTGTGGTGTACATGCTCGTGGATTCGACCATGCTGTTTGATCCTCGCTTGCCTGTATCTGAGACTCCTCCTCGTCAAGCTCGCGAAGTGGATGCCGACCGAGGTCGCGATTATGATGGCGATGAGACTACAGTACAGGATTGGTTGCGACGCCAAAATGGCGCAGGGGTGACCTCGGCCGAGCGTTTCTCGCCTGCGTTTGCCGAGTTGCTGGTGGCAGGACGTTTTCACATACTGCATGTCACAGTAATCGGCCCGTCGCGGCCAAAGGGAATGCATCTTCTTACGGTCAGGCCTTCTCCCAAGCAGCTTAGAAGATTCCGTCAATCTTGTGGGGTGCCAGCGGAAGTTCCAGAGGTCGGCCGAGGCGAGTTCCAAGCTCCAATCCTGCCCGACTTGAAGATGCGGCGCACCATAGCAGCGTTACGGCATAGCGACGGCATCAAATATTACAAAAAGATCAATAAGTCGGTCAAGTCAGCTGCTGGCGTGATCGCTCTGATCATTGACCCTGAGGTTGCCCAAGTTGTGGCAGACTTCAAGCCCGCGATCAACCGAGAGATAATCAGGAAGGCCCGTGTTATGTTCGATGTTTTTGCCATGCACATTTGGAGGGAGTTCATCAAAATGGTGCCGCCTTCAGACATGGACATCTTCTTGTATGTGGACGGTAGCCCGCAGCACAGAGGGAAATAACTATATGCTTCGTCAATAGATATATTTATGAAGCGGCGTGGCGCCACCGAGATGTACCACCGACTCTTACCAGTGGTTTCCCTCGGCAGAGATCAGCAGGACACTTTAGGAAAGACGGTGGCGCTCCTGTGGCAGTTGACGCTCGTGTTCGGCCCAAAGTTGTCGCCTCGCTTGCTGGAGCGAGTTCGAGGCATTCTGACCGACAGCGGAGTTGAGCGCAAGATTCACACGATGATTAATTTCTTGCCTGACTATGATTGGTTCATCAAAATGCCAGCGCCGCGCGGGCTGAGGACCGAAGGGCGCTTGATGCCAAGGTTATTGCGCTCCAGCGGATGGAGGCACACATTCGACTGGGTCATAACGCGAGGTCTTTCGATGTTGTCCTTCTTCCCCGACTTCTTGACGAAGCTCAAAGCAGTTGTCAAATTTCTTCGAGACAAGAACCTCATGTATACGTTTACTGTGGAGCTCAGGCGTCGTGGTTCAGTTGATGCTGCGGAGGTGCTCGAAGCTTTCCACTTCCCATCTTTTGCGAGGTGGCGCTGGTCTACTTTACACGGGTGCGTCAAACCAGTCAGTGGCATAGTGCACGCGCTCATCAACTATTTCGATCCTGAATTGTTCAGGGGGGTGAAGAATCAAACGCTATTCAGCGCAGTTTTGGCAGCATTGGCATCGCCGACTTGGTCCAAGAGAGAATTGGCATTTGTAGCATGGTTTGCTGCATGGCTGACGCCTTTACAGAACTGCGCTGGCACGTGCTTGTGCCATCCTCGAGGACGCCCCTTTTAAAAACAAGCGTCATGCATATATATATGTTACCGCTTCGCGGGTCTCCACCAGCCCATCCAGGAAAACACAGGCAACCAGTGAGCAGCAAGAGCCGCCAGTAGGTGGATTGAGAAAAGCCGAAGGAGGAGGAGGGGAATGTACTACCTCTGATGAGTATATGAGA